TTTTTTTTCATTCACCTGCCATAATAATAATCTTTCCGGGATCGTCTAAAATAGATGGCAATCTCCACATATCTTTGATATTTTTTTTTGTAATTTCGATGTGTATGCGTGTGTATTTTTTCGTTTATTTTTGCAATTTTTGGTTTCATTTTTTTTATTCGCGCGTACAGAGTGGTGATAGGGTTGGTTTGAAAAGAAACATTTTATCTAAATTGTTCTTCTTTTCCATGTTTAATGAAGGTACAAAATATATTCGTAGAAAAAAATGAAACGATCAAACTTACCGCCAAAGCCTAAGGGCAAAGGTATGGGCAGTGGAGCCATCGACAAAGATATATCTCGATCTCTGGATTTGTCTGAATCCGGTGGACTTTTTCGTAACGGTTTTTCGTCTTCAATCACTTCCTCAATGGGAGGCTGCAAATTTTAATCAAATGAATGAATGAAAAACGAAAATCGTGTAAAAGTTATGAAAATAAATTCACGTACATCCGGTGACCGGACGGGATTCTCAGGGCAAATGAATTGAACCAATTTTACGGACAATTGATGCCACATTACGGATGCCTCACAATAGGCACATTCTGAGACTTGCTTCACTTTCATGGCACACACATGACTCCCGACACCAACACGTGCCGCGGTGACCATGCATTTCAGCAGCCGGCACACATTCTCACACACTGCTGTCGCAATGCCCATATGTTGTTCCACATCTTGCAGTTCGATTTGCTTCAGTAAAATGTCCAACATGAAGATGCAGCAAGTCAAATTGTGTTCGGAATCGGTAGAAAATTCGGCATTTTTCGAATTTGGTGCTTCTTCATCCGACATTGCATCGGATGTATGGCTTGATTCATCCTCAACAACAGGCGCTGTAAATAAAATCAATTTCAATGAGCGAATAAAAACGCCTGCTTTCAAAATTCCCAGATTTCATCATTACATATTGAACTCCTACGCGGTCCTTGTGTCACAATTTCGCTATCTTTCGATTGTGATTTTCCATCGTCTTTGTCCTTCGATTTGTTGATTTCATGCTGTACACCGTGTTTCATAATACGAACGCCATTTCCAAACATCGCAAACAACTGTGTTAATGGTATCAAAATCTCAAGTTTGCTTATGACCTGTAGCCAATGCAATGCTTGTTCCTGAACTTTGGACGTTGTTTTTTCGAATCGAATCGAAACAAAATTGTACATTGTTTTCGCATCGAAACCCAACGGTGACATTTCTGGATCGAGTATTTTGCTGATCACCACTTTCAATTCATGCAACTCTTTCTCTGGAACATCATTGGTGATTGCTTCCATCCAATACGGCATTACAACATCCCAAATTTCGGCCGTTATCACCTCATACGGAACTAAACAAATCAAACGCTGTAATCCTTCTTTCAAATGACTGGTTCGAAATGCAAGCGTATCCCAATGGCCACCATTTCGTGCGTATTCCGGTGGATGGGGCAGCAAACACGATATAAACTCTTTGTAATGACTCTTAATGATGTCTTTTAACCAACCGCAAACATGTTCGACTTTTAGCTTTTCGATTGTACTTTCAACTTCTCCATCACTTGAGTAGGCTGTGACATGGAACCAATGAAATAGCATCGACAACAAACGTCCAAGTATTTCAACTGGCGTCTCTGCGGTCGGTGTACAACGTCCAACGAGTAACCAAATTCCGTATCTACCGAGCAGTTGACGTTCTTCAAGTGAAATGTTATCGGGTGGACCGTGATATGGGAATGTTGTGCGCGAATCGCTTGCATCACGTCCCGGTTCGAAATTCAATGGTTTCGCTTCACGTAACAGACTTATCACTGCTTCGACCATGTATGTTTGCATTTCTGGTTCCATTTGCCATGCCGAAGACAAACTTTTGTGCACAATGTGATCACCACCTCGGCGACTATTGTGCCTATTTCCATGGCACTGCAAACAATAGCGAATCGGGTGATTTCCATTATAGCTGGCACACTCCGTGGAAAAACAAATGGAAATGGCTGATTTGTCGGTTGAACGGCAATTCTGTTGGCCACACGAAAAAAGAGAAAATGAACAACTTTAGAAGGAGTCAAAGAAAGAACTGAGCGGTTTAAATTATGCAAGGTTATGTCACATCACAAGTGCTGTCAAAATACGCAACACTTGGTTGAATGTTGTGAGCGGTATCGGTATATAACCATAAGCACTGTCAATTCTCAGAGAAAACTCTTTGGAAGAATTTCATAAAAAAAAACTTCACAAACCTTGTTTTCGCATATCATCGAGACTTGAGCCATCGGATGCAGAATATCGCCGAATATTTGATTTGTATTTTCACGATGGATTTCATTAGCGCATTCAATGCACAAGTACAATGGTGGTGGTGAATCTGGTGCATATGTGATGGCGATGTTGTGATCGTAGCAAACTTTGGTCGCCTCAGCATTTCCCGCATTCGGACACAGTTCTCGCTGACACACGAACGGTATTAGGTCGTCTATTTATGGTTAAGAAAGTCGTATTGCATTTGCATTGAATTGACCTGAATGAACGAAGGAAATGAATGCTTACAAATGATTGCTTACTTGTGAATTTGAATAGAAGCCCACGTCGATCGAATAGATTGGCATTGAATGCAGGCCAATAATAAAACAGAAGTTTTGCAGCCGATGATCGAGATAAGCTGGTTCCATAGGCAATGTTTATCAGCATATCTTTGACTACGTTTTGTTTGAGCGCCATTAAACATTCCAGCAATTGGCAATGGTGTGCGGGATTAGACGAATATTGAAAAACCAGCATAATAACTGCCGATACGGACTGACACGAATGGCATTCTTGATCATCGTAGCTACTTGTTCTGGTTATGGTGAACGGTAAGATGAAGAAGCATAACGAGTTTATGATGTCTTGATGCAAAGATATGGGTAAAACTGAAATGGATGACGCCACTAAATACGGAATATTATCGATGAGATCCTTTTCTAAAAATGGCAAAATGCACCCGAGACACTGGAGAACCGCTTTTCCAAACACTGAAATAGTTACGATAGAGGATACATTTCAGTAGAATCAGAAAATGATGTGAATAATTCAAAAATTTACCATTAAGTCCGAATTGAATGTTTGGTGCAACATCCAAAAGCATTGCCAGAGCATTATACAGATTGCCATACTCTAAATTCGGATAGGCCGACATGCGTGCATGGTCTTGCGAGGGGTCTTTTATCATTTGATGCGGTGAATTGGGCACATCCTTCAAAACGGCTGTGGAAAATTCAATGGCAATATTTCATTTTGAACATTTATTTTTGAAAATTTCAAAGTGAAAATGCGATTCTTACTCAAAAATGTTTGCGAAAAGTACTTGATAGTATTGGCGATGTCAACGCCAGACGGCGCAGGCACCACATTATGGAGTAGTCGCAAGTGATAGTCGTGCAAACAGCGAAGCTTGGCTTGAACTGAATTATTTAAACGAGAATGAAAAAATTTAATCTTCGAATGTTAGCTATTGAATATGATAACACTTACAAGCTGCGGCCCGTGTGCCCATGTTGATGAGCTGAATTTTGAAGCTGCCCGTCATTAGAAAGGATTTTCTTTTGACAATTTAATACAATGGATGCAAACCATGTAGATTACGTAACATACTTCCCATATAAAAAGCGCTTGATTTTGAACAATTTAACTCTTCTTGAACTCTGCTAATCGCTAATAATACTTTCTCAACATTAACGATGTAATATACACGTTTTAAACTCGAAACAAAGCAATTTTTGTTTCTTTATTTTTCCAAAATAATTTAAACAAATCGGAAGAGAAAAAAACACACTCCACACCCTAGTTTTTACGTTTCAATAAATCGAATGAAATTACTTTCAATGCGTACGTTTTGCCTTGATTTTTCGATATTCAATATCAAGGGTGAATTATTTCTGATTAAATGAACAGAAATTAATTAGTTTTCACCCCATTTCTGCAAATGCGTGTGAAAAATTGAAGAATTTCACATCGTTTGATATCCACCCTCGTTAAATGCCAGCACACAAATATGTCGGACGTTGTAGCGAGCAAGCAAACGAGAAGATTTTTTACATCTCGGAGCATGAGCAAAGAAACCAGAGAAAAATCGATATTGTCGGTGGATGCGATGCATTGCTATGCTGTACAGTGTACACGCTGTGTACCAATATCCAGCCTTATGTATGCCTTGTACCATGTGGATGCCGCTCACTTTCATTGTCACTCCATCTCGGTCATGTGCAAATGCGTTGATTTTTCCATCATCTGATCCCATCGTTTTTTATGAATGAAATCAGCCGTTGTTGGAAAACGGGAAAAGCCGGTAGGGTGCAGATTTTCTTTCACGTGCATTATTTGTGTTTACCAACAAATACAAAGTCACGTGAGCATTTTCTCCAGCTGTATGTGTCAGCTGTAGATGCCAGCTGATTGCTGCTATGAGCACGTGGAGAGTTTTTCGTTTGAATTATATGCGAACATCAGCAGCTTGATGACAGCGGAACGTTGGTTGAATTTCCCTTTATTTTTTCTAAATGTAAAGTTTGACGAGAATATTGCAAAACGTTTGTTTTTTACTATGTTTAAAACGCACTTTTCTCCGAAACACAAACAAGTTTACGCGGATTTCGTGTTTACAAAATTGTGAGCTGCTAAAATTGAAAAAAAGTTTTCATCGAATCACGGAAAATAGCAAAACGTTGACCGCATCGTATTTGCGTATTTTTCCGATTTGGAGGCGCGCACCACAGCTGATTTATTGTATTACGTCGTTGTTCGTGCCTTTTTTTATCGCTCTATATTCGGTTCACAATGCGGCACCAATTTACTTGTTTACGACAGCAGCAGCAGTAGCAACAGCGGCGGTGCGACAGTCACCGATAGCTACAGAGTGATAATAATAAACACGTCGCTCCGGCTGTTTGTCGCTCTGACTTTAGTACGTAGGAATAGATTGCAGTGTTCGCACATACATTTTATTCGTTGCTAATCGAGTGGAATACGTTTGTTGGTCACATTTTTGGATTCGATTAAAAAAAATTTCTATTTAAAAACTTCGTAACTTATTAAAATAAATTCATCAATATCAAAATGTCATTGGTCCGCATTATTGGAGCTGAGGTGATTTTCATAGCAATAATAATTTGTGTGTATTTTTCCGAAACGGAATGGCGTGTGGCAAAAAAATATATTTGTTTGTTCAGAGCGATAAGATGGCCATTTTTTTCTTCCTAATCTTTAAGCCGGAATTTCGTTCATTATCCTTCGTTGTGAGAAAAACCAAACAACAACCCGAATTATGTAACAGAAAAGTGGATTGAATCTCAGTGTTGTTATCAACACACTTCGTTTGCCTTCAATTGTATGATAAGGAAATATATTGTAGATAACGATAAAGTTGTTTTGCATTTCAATGGCCCATCGTCCATTTGCTTGGGAACAATTCAACTGATATATTTGAACTTGACTTGGAACAATAATAATAATTTCGATTATATGCAGTATTTTCGAGTTTGGGCCAATTTAACGATAGTTCATTGATTTTTCCACGTGCATTCGATAATGTATTACTGTTGCTAGTCCATGTGTTTGAGCGTTGTAACTTGAGTACAATTATTGTATTTAAATTGATTTGAACTTGAATGGTCATCCATTTGAATGTATTTGTCACTATATCGTCTACGATACGATGTGTTTGCATAGCAAGGCATACCGATTTCAATAAACTGCTCGGCTTCTGAGTTTGTTTTTCTATTTGCCTTATTTCTAATGCAATTGAATCAATAAACGAAACAATCAACACCGAACAATGCATATATGCATAATTTTCCAATTTGAAAATCTCTTCGTTTCGGACCGTATATGTTTTTTTTTTCATAATATGAGCCTACTGCGCTTATTATCACTCATCCACATACGTACAACAACTGCAACAGGCGAATGAAGAGAAGAAAAAAAAATGCGTAGAAACACCGCCGCACTGTAAACAAAATCAAACAGAAGCGTAAACAGCTCATTCGACCTAAATATATAGCTGCGTGTGTATGATATACTGCGACTCCGCTGAATACGGCTGAATATGACATATTATCGTTTGCTGTCCACATCTCATTATCTCATTTTTCAATCTCAATCTTTCGTTGTAGATGCGTTCGGCTGTAGCTCGTCGTATGTACTCCAGCAGCACCGCACCAATCACTAAACTTTTTCTCGATGGCAAATTTGTTCAATCAAAAACCACCGAATGGGTTGATCTGCATGATCCAGCCACCAATGAAGTCGTTACACGCGTGCCAAAGGCTACGCAAGGTGAAATGTTGGCTGCCGTTGAATCGTCCAAGGCAGCATTCAAATCATGGAGCCAGACATCGATTTTAACACGTCAGCAGATCATGTTCAAATTGGCACAGATCATTCGATCAAATATGAAATTGTTGGCCGAAAATATCACCAAGGAACAGGGTAAAACGTTGATCGATGCTGAAGGAGATGTACTGAGAGGATTGCGTGAGTATTTTAAAAAAAATTTATTTGTTGTTTTCAAGAAGGAGATAGCCAATTGCTCGTTTTTCTATCAAATTCACAGAGGTCGTTGAGCACATGTGCAGCATTACAAGTCTTCAAATGGGAGAAGTTTCACACAATATCGCCAAGGATATGGATACATACTCATTGACTCTTCCGATTGGTGTTACGGCTGGCATTTGCCCATTCAATTTCCCGGCTATGATTCCATTATGGATGTTCCCAGGTATTCAATGGCATTTGATCATTTTAAATAGCATTTCTCCATAAAATCAAGCTAATTTCATGAACTCCCCTCTCAAATCCTAGTTGCGATTACGTGCGGCAATACCAGTATTATCAAACCATCAGAGAGAGACCCTGGAGCTACAATGTTGCTTATGGAAATGTTGAATGAAGCAGGGTGTCCACCTGGTGTCGTAAATGTCATCCACGGCACAAACGATTCGGTCACATTTATCTGCGATAATCCAGACATCAAAGCAGTGTCATTCGTTGGCTCGGACCAAGCGGGAAAATACATCTATGAACGTGCCTGTCGCAATGGAAAACGCGTGCAATGCAATATGGGTGCCAAGAATCATGGTGCGTACAATAATTATAATTGAATCAATGCATAGTCAAGCTTAATATATGTGAATAATCTCTTTTTTTTCAGGTATCATTATGCCTGATGCAAACAAAGAAAATACTTTGAATCAATTGGCTGGTGCAGCATTTGGTGCGGCGGGTCAACGCTGTATGGCCTTATCGACGGCAGTATTTGTAGGCGAAGCAAATGATTGGCTCCCAGATTTAGTGAAGCGAGCTCAAGGTCTCAAAGTTAACGCTGGCCACGTACCTGGAACTGATTTGGGCCCAGTCATAAGTCCACAGTCAAAACAACGAATTCACAATTTAATTGAATCGGCCACAAAAGAAGGTGCCAAAATTATTTTGGATGGTCGCAATATTAATGTGAAGGGATATGAAAAAGGAAACTTCGTTGGACCAACGATCATCACCAATGTTAATCCATCGATGCAATGCTACAAAGAAGAAATATTCGGTCCGGTGTTGGTTTGCCTGTCTGTAGATACTTTAGATGAAGCCATCAATATTGTCAATAATAATCCATACGGAAATGGCACTGCGATCTTCACAAATAATGGTGCTACAGCGCGTAAATTTGTGAATGAAATCGATGCTGGTCAAGTTGGTGTGAATGTCCCTATTCCAGTGCCCCTTCCGATGTTTTCATTCACTGGTACTCGCGGTTCATTCTTGGGAGACCATCATTTCTATGGTAAACAAGGCATCAAATTCTATACACAAACCAGAACGGTTACACAATTGTGGAGAGAAAGTGATGTTACGCACACTAAATCGGCTGTTGCTATGCCAACTATGAAATGAAATACTCTTCGAAGACAATAAATCAAATCAAATATTTCTTAAGTATTCCAGCTGAAAATGTAACAGGAGGAAAATTGAAGGTTTTGATTGTATACAAGAATTTAATTTTTTTTAATAACTGCATTTTTGAGTTTGACTGTCATTTGAACGGGAGAAAGTAAAATTAAATGTGAATGCATTTTTGGTATAATTTGAATAAAAACAAATGAATCAATTTCAACTGTTTGTGACGACTTTTTCTATACAAAAATTAAGATAAAGAAACAAATTGTTTAAAAAACTTATTTCTAGGATTATAAAAAAGGGGCACTTATTTAAAACGGAATGTAAGGAAGTGCTTTTGATTATTACACGAGAAAAAATTTACAATTAAAAATAATCTCAATTGAATACACGTGGTTTTCGTATCTACTTTCAAAATGTAAAACTTGTGACTATTTTTTATCTTCTTCACATCGAAAAATAAAAGTAGACACTTGATATAAATTGTACGCTGTGACGCTTAAAATCAAATAATTTAAAAGTCCACCGGTAAAGTAGGTGTGAATCATAAGCCATTTACCAATATTTGGTCCACCGATAAACATCACATTTGAAATACTGGAGGAAATAAGTAATTGGCCGCCTAGAATTGCGTTCAATCGTTGAATGTTTTGGCTTCCGATTGGTTTCAAAAATCGCCTGTATTGTTGGCTACGTGAAATGTGCCGGCCGAACAACTCAATATAAAGAGAAGCCAGATTCAGAAATACCCAGACGAGCAGAAATAGATAATATCCATGCCAAAAGTAGATGAAAGCAAACGATACGAAACTGGCAAACAATTTTCGTGGAAGGGACGATGTTCTCGTGCACATCTCTGCATAAATATGCCTAGAAATGAAGAGAAGAATCCAAAATAAATTTTTTAATGCACTAATTAATGTCATCAGTTATTCACTTACTTGAACAAGAAGTCATGAAGTCCATGATCAAAATGCTTCCACATTTTCGAATACAGATGAATACGTCCAATGCACATGGGTTTCCGAGGTGCATCGATTCGATCAAATTTGGCCAATGACAATCCCAATCCATAGGCCACAATGTATTTGTTACAGAAATATTGGCCGATTGCATAAGCAAAACCATAAACCGCCCATAAATTCATGTGCTCCATTTGCTGTTGATGAAAATCGGATGAGCACAGAAAACATAGAAAAATATATTCCAAATTTACTTACATCTGGATGGTAGATAACAACATTGGCGTAAATGAAATGCATGCAAATTTCATTGAGAACATAGACACAACCGATGCGAAGCAGTGAAATCACCAGTTCCTCCAAACGATACCATGACTCTTGTACACGATACAATTTATTCTGTGGTATCATTTTGGCATAGCGCTCATAAATCAATGGTGGACCATGCAAATACACCGGCAAATAAAATGAATACGCTAGATAATGAAGTGTTGAAAATTTAATTCGAATTCGTTCGGGGTCTTCATTTGGTCGTGCATTGCAATAGTCAATGGCAAAACTTGTGACTCGGAGTAAAAGCCATGACAGAGCAATCATTGCATCGCACACTTCTTTTTCGTTGAGCATTGTCGACAGTCGTTCTTCCCACACGCTTTGTTTTAGCATATTCAAAATGGCTAGCCACACTACGGTTAACATCCAGACATATCGCTTTTGTAATGCCATCGCTACGTAATATGAAAATATCATTGCAAACATTGCACCGGCCACAAGTGGTTCGAAGTTTCTCCAAACAAATGAAATGCCGATCGCCGCGTGCATAAAACAGACTCTCTGCAAAAGGAAAATTCAATGGGTTTTTAACTAAATGATGTGAAAACTTATGTTAAATTAATGGAAAAGTGGGTAAAATGATTTACATGCGGTTCCAATTGACGAACAATTTCCGAAAGAAACACATGACAAATGTACCAGTACACATACTTCTGTGTGTTCTCAACAAACGATTCCCATTCAGCATCGTAGTCATCTCGCTTTCGACCAATCAACCAGCCTTCCGAAAACGAATTTTCATTCTCCAGAATGTCTATACCTAAAAAAGGAACACAATTGAATGCAAATACTTGTTTTATTGATAAATCCACAAATAAACTCACTCTGTCCATACTGAAACGCATGATAAATGGCACAAACCAACGCTCCGACATACAAAAACAACGAAACAGAGACTTCAAATGGAGGCAAACCCATTATCACATTTTTTTCTTCTCTCTCTTTTCAATTCTTTCAACTAACGAAACTAAAAGTTATGATTTGCATGAAATCTCTATAAATTTTATCATTTTTTCTTTCCACAACTGAATGTCGGCATTCGTTGGTTTATTTTAAGTTTCTCTTCACTGGAATGTTTATACTGTCAACGGACTGGATAAAACAAGTGTCAAATTGAAAACTCACAGCATTTTCAGTTGAACAATGCTGGCAATCGTATAATGTCAAATTACCGCATTTTGACGTTTCACATACACATGGTGCAGACCATCAAAATAAATAACAACAAAATTCCGATGGTGAATTGCTTTTTCCGAGTGCAAAATCGTTCTAATACATGATAAAAAGAGAACTTGTTTTTCAAACTCGACCTTTGACAAAAGTATTGCTTGAAATTTTCGATATTTTTCTGAATATTCATCGGTACCAGTGTATATTCCAATTTAAATTTGCAATTAAAATTATATTCTTCTCTTCCAGAGCCTCACATACGCTGACTCAAAACAGAAACGTGTGTTTACACATTGTGAATGCCGCAACTCCAGTTGAATCAGATAAAATGGGAGCAAATATGCAAATAAAATGCCGAAAATGTCGAACGATCATCATGAAAGTGGCTGCCAACAATTTGCTCGATGCACATTCTGACCAATTTTCAAAAGATCTCGCCCAAATAAAATCCGATTGCTTATCGATCTTTGGACGAACTGAAATTTATTTGAATGAAGATGCATTAGAGCCATGGATTCAAGAGGAAATCGAACGATCTGAATGGACGAAAGGAAAGCTGAAATGTGTCAAATGCACTGCAAATGTTGGATCTTTTGATTTTGTAGCCGGACTAAAATGTGATTGCAAACAGTTCAACCAGCCGTCGGTGCATTTTATTTGGAGTAAAATTGATTTGGAAAATGTGAAATAAATTTAGATACAGTAAAAAAATGTGTTTTATTTGAACAATAAAAAAAATGCTTATTTTGTTTTTCTTACATTACATGATTGCTGCTTCGATTTTTCGTATTGGAAAATCAAATCGCTAACGTGATAAGCGCTGTACACTGCAAGGCTTAGCACAAAATACGAACGAATTGCATTGTTGAAATAAGTTTCGTGAATTATGTGGATGAGAATGTTTTCGCTGCCAGAGAAAAATAACATTGATAAACTTATATGGATAATCAGTAGTTGACTGCCAACGACTCTATTGATTCGTTTCATGGTCCCAGACCCAAAAGTCATTGACAGACGCCTATAACCTTTGGACTCGATTATAAGTTTGCCAAGCATTTCCAAATATAAAATACCGAAATTCGACCAAACCCAAAAGAAAGCCCACAATCGATTTCCAATGCAATGCCAACATGTTACAAAAATGAACACAAACAATCGACCGCATTTATTCCATTTGGACTTCAAATTGCTGGTTGGAATATGAATGTACCTGATGATAGAATAGAATCGAATTGAAATTTGAAGCAAATGGATTAAGTTGTATCTTACTTGAGCACAAAGTCATATAATCCTTTATCGAAATATCGCCATGTAAGTGAATTTTTGTGCATACGAAAGAGGCATTTTGGTTTCGATGGAGCATTGATTCGATCGAAACGAGCCAATGCACCGCCCAGTTGATACGCCATCATGTGCACATGTGAAAAATACAAAATTGAGCCTAGGATCATTCCATAAAGTGGCCATCCATTCAATTGACTTAGGAGCTAACGCAGAAAAAATGGTTATATTGACGTTTAATCACAATTTTCAAAATGAGGTACTTACATATGGATCATCAATAACAGCGTCTGTATATAAGAAATGCATCATAAAAACGACCAAGAAACCCGTACCGGTCAATCGCACTAGTTCATTCAGTAATTTTTCGGCGCGTTTTAATAGGTCGGCATTTGTGCCAGACTCATTTTCTTCGATCATGTTTAGGTAATTAGAGTAAATAATCGGTGGGCCTCGGGAGAAAACAGGCAAGTAGAAAGTAAACCCAATGAAGTTGATCAGTGAGTATTTTCGTTTTAGTTCAGAATATTTCTTAAAACTGTTTGAACCTTCGCAGTAATCTAGTGCGTAGCTGGTGAGGCGTAAAATTTGCCAGCACAGAGCTCTCCTTGCGACGTAAATTTCGAAAGTAGTCAAATCTGTTGGAATGAAACTCCGCTGGCGTTTGTCGGTTTTAATCAGTCCGTCGAAGCACAACCACGAACACAAAGTCAACCACACGAATCGCTTTTTTCCAATTTGCATCGTCAGATAGAATGTGACTGGAACTATGATGAAAATAGCTATGATTGGCAGTTTGTATGTGGAAAACAGAAACAGAATTCCGAGCACTGCATGTGCTGCAGGGATTTTCTAATAAGGGATAAGTCTTTGTCATTTGAAAATTTCAAAGAATAAGATAACTTCATTCGCACCTTGACATCAATATAACGCACCAGCTCACAACAGAAACAGTAAGTCGCCAACCAATGGGCATTTGATGTAATGTACGTGAAAAATTGCTCATATTCGGAATCAAATTCTAAGCGCTTTCGATACAACAGACTCCAACCATCTTCCAGGGAATCAGAACTCTCTTGAATATCATGGTCT